GGACCTAACCCTAACCCTAGCGGGCTTCGGGCTAAACGGGCTAAGCGGGCTTTAATAATAATAATAATAATAATAATAATAATAATAATAATAATAATAATGTATCAAAAAAATATCAAAAATAAAAAGAAAAAAAATTATAAAAAATTACAACGACTAATTAACGATTGTTTTCAACGGTATTTAGTATTTGCCGCTCTATATATACAACTACACATCATATATGAACACGTACTACAAACTCTTAAATAACTCTTTTTTGAAAAGAAAAAAATATTCGAATTATTACTTACAATTATCATTTCACTACTTATTTTGTACGCTTTGGAAATTTTTACGATATTATATCACTATAAGTTATATCACTATGTTTCATGTGTTAGGTCTTTGTCTCATTTGTTTTCTATTAGTCGTTCTGATTGAGTCAAATATTTTGGTGTGGAGTAAAATAAGAATATTGTTAATAATTATGTTTCAAAATCAATATAATCCGTTACAATTCATACTTATATGTGAAGTGGAATAACAAAATTGTAATATACAATGAATCTAAGAGTATATTACTTACTTGTTGCAAATATTTACAACGCTCAACTCAAGTTAAACGGGCCAACCCTAGCGGGTTTCGGGCTAGCCCTAACGGGCTTCGGTTTAAACGGTCCGGGCCTAAAAAGCCCTGATTTAAACGGGCTACCAATAAGAAGCCCTAACCCTGTTTTTTTCCGGGTTAAACGGGCCGGCCCGTCGGGCCAAGTACCGTTTAACATCTCTAACCACACTAGTCTTTTTTTTATGTTTTCACGACAAATATTATACTCTCTCCTATTCTTTTAAATGTTATTTTATGCTTTACACATAATTTAAAAAAAAAAAATATTGCCAATATTACCTTATATAAAGCAAATTAACATTAATTAATTTCATTCTTTTCAACTTTTTTTATATTTTTTAAGAGATAAAACTCATCGTATTCTACAACTTTCTTCCTAAAACGTGTAGTGTATTAATTAAATGGAAGTAACAATGAAAAAAATACGTATAAAATTTCAAAAACGTCATTTATTTGATTAATGACCAATAAAGCCAAAATGACAAATAAAATGAATTGGGCGAGTAATAATTAGAAATCTCAAAAAGAGTACAAATCGAGTGTCGGCTGACACCAATGAACCAGAGAACATTGACCTGCCATTTCTTGAACTCCACAAGTGTTCAAGGGGTACAAGCTCCATCAAGGAGACGACGCAAATACAAAATTAAACTCCATAAAAGAGACAAAACTCCATAAAAAAGACTAATGTCGTACGAAGCTGGACTAACATAACGAAACAAGAAAAAACGCACAACTAATAAACAAATAAAATAAGACCTCTTCTACTCCTAACCAGTGGCGAAGCTACATGCTAATGTAGGGGTCAGCTGACCCCTATAGATTTCAAAATTTTTAGTATAAAATACTGTTCAAACACTGTTTACTAGGTTAATGACCCCGCTAAAAAATATTGCCGACCCCGGTGAAATTTGAGGCTGGCTTCGCCCCTGCCTAACAGACATAACTCACAACCACGCGAACGGTACACAAGTCACACCTCACAGCACAGTGACTAGGAGTGTGCATAGTTTGACTAAAATCGAAATAACCGACCGGAAAAAAAATCGGTTCGATTTTTATCTAATTCGATCGATTTTTGGTTTTGGTCATATATTTTTTCAGCCATTTCAGTCCGTATCGTTTTTTCGGGGCCCAAATGTATGAAATAACCGAACCGACCGATATATGTATATATGTTATAACATAAATTATATAATATTAATTCTAAAAAAATTGGAAAGTAGTCTTCTCGTCTTCCCCATTTGAAATGTTGTTGTAAATTGATGTAAAAGTTTTATTAACCAACCGAACTGACCGAAATTTTGGTTCAGTTAAACATTGGTTTGAACTTCACATTTCGATCGGTTCGATTTCTAAAAAATTGCGAGTCGATTATCTCGATTTTAGTGGTTCGGTCGGCTGAATCGACCGAAGAAACCCCTAACAGTGACCCCACGGAGCTGCAAGCCAGAAACTCTCACCACACTAATCATGTAAACAGTTTCTATGGTAATAATAATTTTAACGATGATTAACTAGCTACGATTCAATAAAATTAAAATTATACTAGCCATTGCATTCACCTGTATGTAAAATAATTTATATTAATATGCTCATTTTTACTAATAATTTAATTTATAAAATGTAATATGTCTATTATCTAATTTATATATGATTTTAGATATATTCATAGATATGACTTATAATATTTTGTTTGCATATGTACATTTACACTGTTCTATTGTCACACCTACATTTACACTGTTCTATTGTCACACCAATAACACAAATCAAATAATGCATGTTATTTATGTATAATACTTTTGTTTCGAAAGAAAAATGATAACAAAAAAAAAAATTAATGCATTATAAAGGATATTATTTTTTCAATATTCTACTTTTACGGTGATACTTCTTACTCACGGTAGACACATATGTGACATGCATTTATTGATGACGTTAATATGTTAAAAAAGAAAAAATATGTGTATGCCACATAAACGGTGAACATATTTATAGGTGTCGGAAGGAAACATTCGTATATGTCTAGTTGAATATGTGTCCAACACCTGTCGATCTTAAGCCACGACGCTCCCTTTTCAGCCACATACATACATACCTGCTAGACGCTTCCACATACCTGTCACCAAGAATTGTGCTGTATTCCGTAACCCTAACAAAATCTCGATGAATCGTCAAATCATATATATTAACTCTGTTTTTCCGATAGTGTGAAATTGCAGTTGGATCAATCATCTCTCATCACAGAACCCTAATTCTCACTCAGGTACCTTGTTCATTTTACGCGCTTTCGTCAGAATCAATGTATGTGATTCGTGTTTAACCATTGTTTAGCCTGTTGTCACTTTTGTTTTCTGTTGTTCTGCTGTTGAATTCTTAGTTTTTTGCAGTGCGAATGATCTTATTGGTGTGTTCTGTTATAATTCCTTTTTGGTAGAAATTCGTGAATGAAGCAAATGCATTTTTGGTAGATATTTAAGGTCTTGTTGGATATTGTTTCAAGGAATCCTTTTTTATGTGTCTTTGCAATTTTGAGGATATTACTCATGATAGTGGAGAAAGAAATGAAATTCATAGAACAACTACTATTGATTGATAATAGATTCATGATATGTTTATAAGTATGTGGCGTTTGGGGTTGTGTTTAAATGTAGAGTTTTTGAGCTTCCTTTTTGTCATCTCGATTGAAAGTTGCGTCGAATAGATTTATCTTATTCTGCCCTGAATGCAGACTTTATCAATGGCCGAGAGTGCGAACTCAGTTGTACCAAGTACCGAGCTATTGGAATGGCCAAAGCAGGATAAGCGTCGTTTTTTACATGCTGTGTACCGTGTGGGAGACCTTGATCGGACAATAAAGTGCGTAATCTTCACTTTAAGTTGTGTTATGCTTGCGATGGATTGTGAATTTGTCAAGCAGCCTTTTTGTTCTCGTGTCTGACCACATTTCTTGTGTTTTGTAAACTTGATAGGTTTTATACTGAATGTTTTGGGATGAAGCTTTTGAGGAAAAGGGATATTCCAGAAGAAAAGTATTCGAATGCATTTCTTGGTTTTGGCCCGGAAGAGTCTCACTTTGTTGTAGAATTGACTTATAGTATGTTGAATTATCAGTTCTATTATTTTTTGGTTTGCTTGCTTTGAATTTCATGGTTTATTGTGTGTGAGAGGTCATTTGACACCAGGAAACTGCACTGGTGCTCTATAGATTGCTAATATTGGTATTAGCCCTAGTAGCACTTTGCAGATGCGATTTGCATGTCATACACACTTTGCCAGTTGACATTAGTAAATTTTAAAAATAACCATTCCTTGAATCCCTTTACATTTTCCATCCTATTATCCATCCGCCCCCATGGGGGATTGTTGCTTATCTTGTTATATTGCTACTCAATGCCGAAATCAAGGAATATAAGATTTGATAGATAGTTCTCATAGTCAAGTGCTCGAGGCATAATAGGGTCATGCAATTGCAGCTTTTTCTACACCTTTCATATGCGTTACTTTTGAAAAATACGTCCATATGACATGACCCATTTTTTTATATATTCTACCTGACATTTTTAATATCTCGAAACAGATTATGGAGTTGACAAGTATGACATTGGGACGGGATTTGGCCATTTTGCCATTGCAACTCAAGATGTAAGAACTGAACTTCATTGTTCTCTCTTTAACAGCTCTAGCAAGTTATTTATTTATTTTTTTCTGTTGGTCGGAAGATGAAATTCATTCAGTCTCTCCTACTCTTCGGTTTTATGTAAGGTTTACAAATTGGTTGAGGATGTAAAGGCAAAAGGTGGAACTGTCACCCGTGAGCCGGGCCCAGTCAAAGGTGGAACATCTGTTATTGCCTTTGTCAAGGACCCAGATGGCTACCTTTTTGAGATAATTCAACGAGGTCCCACCCCTGAACCTCTTTGCCAAGTGATGCTTCGCGTGGGTGATCTTGACCGTTCTATCAAATTCTATGAAAAGGTAAAACTTTTCACATTTGCTGCATATATTATTATTATCACCACAGTTCATTGTTTTTGGTCATTATTATTTTGATTGTTGTTTCGGAAAAGTTTAGTTATTCGGAAGTGATGCCATAGAATTTTGCCTGATCTTATGTTTGTCTCTTAGAGCTTATAATGGTTTTGATTGTTTTGAGTCGGTCCAGATGAAATGTTCAAAATCCACTTCAAATCTTGGCTTAAGAACCGGCATAGCAGCTAATATCTTGTATTATTATAATTCATGCAGGCATTAGGAATGAGACTTCTGAGAAAAATCGACCGTCCAGAACAAAAGGTAATAATTACACGCTAGAAAATATAGGTTCATGCATATTTTATCTTTCAATTTAACTTCGAGTTTAGAAGTGGCATCGCCTTCTCAAAATTGCAGTACACATTAGCCATGATGGGATATGCCGAAGAACACGAGACGACTGTTTTGGAACTTACGTATAACTATGGTGTAACTGAGTACACCAAAGGAAATGCATATGCACAGGTTAGCCAATAATAAGCTTCCGTCAAATACATACTTCTCGAAATCTTCCTTTTTATTTTTTTAATATTATCCTCACTGTGTGTTTGTTATCTTCTTGAGTTTCAGGTTGCAATTAGTACTGATGACGTGTATAAGAGTGCCGAAGTTGTGAACCTTGTGACCCAAGAGCTTGGAGGAAAGATGACTCGACAGCCGGGCCCAATTCCTGGAATGAACACCAAAATCACGTCTTTCCTGGACCCTGATGGGTGGAAAACTGTAAGTCTCCAATACTCACCATAGAACAATGAGTTGGGTTATTTGATCGGATATGAATTCAATTAGAAAAAAACTGATTATTTTAACTACAGTTAAGTTTAAAAAAAAAGTAGTATGGTTAGTTTTTAGTGGATATATTAAAATAATATTTAAATTAAAATAATTAAAGTTGATTTGATGTAAAAGTGGAGAAAATGATTGGAAGTGATGGTTAGTTAAAGTTATGTGAGTGGATGAATAGTGAATTAAAGTTGATGTGATGTGTAATAATGATTGGTTGATATTATTTAATTATATTGATAAGATTGGAGATATTTGAGTTGAGTTAAATTTGAGTTTTGAGTGAGATATTTACTGTAGAAATCATATACAATCACGCCTTTAGCACTTCTTTAACAGTCCTACTTCATACTAATTTAATAGAAATGGTTTTCCTGTCATTGCATGCTTGGCCTAGTTATGGCTAAATTGTGCTCTCGCATTATTTGCAACTGTTGCCAGTAACTGAAAATATTCGATTCGCTGAAAAGCTGTTAACAAATTTGGAAACTTTTTGTGGTTCTTTTTCTTTACCTTTGTTGAAGCCCTTTTTTTTTTTTTTTTNNTATTTTTTTTTTCTTATGGTGTATATGTAGGTTCTGGTTGACAATGCAGATTTTCTTAAGGAACTTGAGGCAAAAGAGTAGGGCAAAATAATCTGGAGATGATGAGTTGAGTTTGTTGTTTCGAAATTATGGTTAATAATGTTGTTACGATTATAAAATGGATATGTGGCCCATATACTTATTAGCGTCGGGATCATATGATCCCGATGCAAACTCAATCAACATCTTCATAGGAGACTCCGGTTGATGTGAACTACTATTATTGTTCATGTGAAGCTTCATGTATTGTTATATGTGTTTTGAACTCACCACGAGTTGCCTTACCGTAACAATATCTATCTTAATGCGTGATTAGACACTGATTAATTTTTTTTAAAAAAAAAAAAAGTTTCAATGAAATAAAATTAGTGTGTTAAATGAGTGCGAATTTTGGGTGAAATAATGAAATATTTCAAGTTTATTTTTTAATATATTAATGTTTGATTTGTACTTAATTGTGTTTGTGAAATTGTATAAAAAAGTCGAAACGAGATGCGACTGAAGTTTTTTGTTTTATTTTATATGTCAATTTCTTTGTTTGATAAATCTTTAATAGGACAAGGCAAAGCTGAAAAACTTTGTGGAAATACAATTAATGTATATGACTTATACCACATAGTAATTAATTATTATGGAAAATTAACCCACAAAAAAATGACAAATCCAAATAAATTCAAGGATAATTATGTAATTATAATTAGTGAGGCTAAGCCACGTCACTAACAAATATAGCAAAACCAGTATTTTAAAACGCGTATAGCATAAAGCGTTACGTTTTCGTCATTATACTGCGTAGCGTAAATAGCGTTGCGTGTTGCGTATGTCATTTGAGTATAACAAAATATTTTATAGAAATATTATATATATACCTGCATATAATAAAACTAGATGGTTGATTCTAAAAATTATCATAATATCTGAATGAACTCAAAATAACATCTAAGAATTATTTCTAATAAACGTTTAATGTAAATATAATATTTATTAAATAAAAAAATGAATATACTAAAAAGTAAAAAAAAAAAGAAAATATAATAAGATAAGTCATAATTTAATTTTAATCATATACATTGTAAATATTTTTTCTAATTTAATTACAATTTAATTTTAACCACTAAATTTTAACTTTTTATTCTGAAATTTAAATGTTAAATACCAAAAATATAATGATATAATAGACCAGGACCAATATATTTTGCACTATTCAACTTAAGACTTTGTATTTTTAAACTTTTAATTTGAAATCATTATCAAAATTTTAGTTTTTAGTCATTTAAAGATATAACTATAATCTTAAAAAAAAAAGTTTTTTTTTGAATATTTTATTGTTTAAATATCATTGCAAATTATAGCGCAAAATAGTGTGAAATAGTGCAAAATAGCATAAAAAGTGTGATATTCCAGCATTTCGCATTAGCTATTCGAGGAATTCGTTAAATATATAAAGCTACGTCGCGTTTGTAGGCATCGAAATTTATATATTTTATTAAGTAATGTCATTATTTATTTTTGGACATAAATCCAAGATAAATAAGATATTTAATTAATAAAGTAATTATTTCTTGCTCACCAAGTCAAATCTTAGGATAAGTAAAGAGACTATATCAAATCTTAGCATAAGGAAAGAGATTGTATCAAATCATAAAGGACCAATCAAATTGATGTCTTCTTCTCCAAGACTCTCTCTTCTACACCTATAAATAGGGCTCTCCTCAATGCCACAAAAATAAAAACCTCACAATTCAAGTTCAAAAGCTTTAAGAATTCTCTCGACGAGATTCAAGTGTTCTGATTAGTACTTTTGTATTTTGTATTTTAGTTTCTAGTTTATAGTCAAGTTGGACTTAAGTTTTAGTTTTGTCATTTACGGTGATGGAAATGTTTTAAGGATGATAGATTGTAAGCTCCGACCCATAATTATATATTTAGCTCGACTTTATTTTCCAAAAATAGTAAATTATTAATTTTGCCAAGAATTATTAGTATTAATCACATAATTTATTAAATTCTAAGTTTAAGCCATGGAGAAAGCGTTCGAAGAATTATTTCGGAAACGAGATAAAATCCTAAGTTTAAGTCTCGATTTATTATTTTTATCGAGTATTAGATTAGTCAAAAATTTATTTAATTCCAGAACAAGCCCAATTATTTTTATTCGACCAATTATTTTATTTACCGAACCCAACGTTATTTATTTAGTCTATTTAACGGTATTTAAATTCCTAAGCCAAGTCGAATTTATTTTCGAGCTCATGTAGGCCCAATTATTCGAGTCATTTTAATTCGGTCCATTATAATCGAGATAATTCAATTTGAGCTATCATATTATTTTCTCGGCCCACATAATATTATAATTATCGAGCCATGTCATATATTTCGAGCCTAAGTCATATATTATTTTAGCCCAAGTCAAAATTTAATGTTAAGCCCAATGATGAGCCCCATTTTGGGCCAAAAAAAGTGACCAAACCCTAAGTTTCTCACTCATATAAATATATCAATTCCCCACCTCGCAGCATATTTTCCCAGCTGAAATTGCTTTTC